ATTTACCTGTTGTAACCACCGGAGGTCACTGTGTAGTGTAAACTGCAGAAGACAAGGCAACGTAGAACGTATAAATCTAAACAGATAAACTGCTGGAGACGAGGGTGAATAGAGCTGGGAGTGTGAAGCAAAACTCTGAAGTCTGAGGCCATGAAACCAAAACACTGAGCTGAAAGAGGCTGAAAAGCTCCGCAGAGCTGAGAGGAACTGCAGGGTCGGGGTGGTAGCAGCTGTTAGCTAGCAGCAGTTAGCAGCTGTTAGCTAGCAGCAGTTAGAAGCTGTTTTCTAGCAGCAGTTAGCAGCTGTTTCTAGCAGCATTTAGCAGCTGTTTCTAGCAGCATTTAGCAGCTGTTAGCTAGCAGCTGTTAGCTAGCAGCATTTAGCAGCTGTTAGCTAGCAGCTGTTAGCTAGCAGCAGTTAGCAGCTGTTTTCTAGCAGCAGTTAGCAGCTGTTTGCTAGCAGCAGTTAGCAGCTGTTTGCTAGCAGCTGTTTGCTAGCAGCAGTTAGCAGCTGTTTGCTAGCAGCAGTTAGAAGCTGTTTTCTAGCAGCAGTTAGCAGCTGTTAGCTAGCAGCAGTTCTCTGTGGTGCAGCTTTAACACCTGTCAGTTGTATGAAAAGGAGCTGAACTGAATTGGCAGAGCAAGGCATTAGGCACCGCTAGGGTTGAGGGTTTGATTCCCACCTCAGCGTCTGTGTCCGCCGCCTCCTCGGGCCCCTCGGGGCCCCAGGGCAGCTCAGCCGTCATGGCTGAATCATAATAATCAAACACATCAGAATGTGCTGTTGGTGGATGCTCTGATGAATCGGACTCCATCTGTTCTCCGTCCAGTTCTGGTGCGAGACCTGGTTCTGACTCGGAGACGTCCTGAGGGTTGTACATCACCGGCGGTCCAAACGCCTGGTAGCGGCCGTAGAAGCCCCTGTAGGGCAGGTGGGGCCAGCCGCCAATCAGCAGCACCACCTGCAGAGTGTCGGAGGAGGAAGTGTACTTGGCCTCGCGCCAGCACTTCTGCAGGACCTTGTGACCCCCGGAGCGGGCGGCGGGGTCGTCCACGTGGATCTCGTCCTGTTTGAGGTGGCAAGTGTCATCGGGGGTCAAGTCCTCCAGGTGGAGGTGGATCCTCTTGCCGGGATCCACCCGGACGGTCCAGTTGCACCACAGAGACGGGTTGGAGCACAGGTAGTCCGGGGAGAAGAACTCGCCGCTGTCGCCACCGTGCAGCAGCCGGTGGCAGCTCCGCAGGGCGAAGAAGGCGCCGCCACCGTGTCCATCTGAGGAGGAAACAAACACACCAGTGGATATTACAGGTGTGAGCTCATTAAAGACAAGTAGCATGATTTATACATCACCTTCAGTTTTTAAAAACACACACCACAAACAGACAACTCACCGCGTGCAGTAATTAAGACACACACACTGCTGCTTTTTTGTCATTTAAATATCTAATTGTACATATTATTATCTATTATTTATTAATGTATTTGATATTGACATTTTTGCAGTTTCTTTTTCTTCCTCACTGTGGAACTAATCTTCTTTCTCCAGAACATGAAAATCAACCAACAAACATATCGTCAGCTGTTCATGATATTCAAGGTAAATGATCAAATTCACATTCTCCTTCTCATGATTTCTATTTCATGATTTTTATTTTATTTTTCTTCTACCAATCCCATGAACAGACCAAAACCAACAACGCGTTAAAGTCTAAGTCCTCGCCCCTGTTGGTTCCTACTGACGACGTAAAGCTTTCAAACTCCTCAAGGATTGTTTCACTTCTTAAAATCATTCACTAATTTCCTCAAACAGCTGCTCGTGTAGTTTTGAATGAAAACAGGAGGAAGTGGTTTTTAACATTTTCTGGATGACAACGCAGCAGGCTCAGAGGAATTAAATTAAATATTATATAAATATATATATAATAAGGGTATTAAATTAGGGCCGTCAGACTTTAGATACACACACAGTACGTGTTAGAAGCTCGGTGTTGGTCTTTTCTTGGGGTTTGTTCAAAATAACAAAAACAGAATTATACCAGTGAGTTTGAGTGAATGTGTTCACCTGTTAAAGTCAGAGTTCAGCTTTACTCAGTGTCACAGGTTTGTGGAAAACAGGAAAAGGGTGAAAAGGTGAAACTTCCACTTTCACTTTCAAACAGTGATTTTCACGAGTGATGAACACAACTTTTAAAAAGCAAAAAAGTTTGAATTCAAATAACTAACAAGTGTATTTATCTGAAACGTTGAACTGAGATTTAGAGGTAGTTTGGAGACTCTGACTTTGTTTACCTGTAGAAGCTGCTTTCTAACTCTGCGTTTAACAGTAAAGCAGCAGATTTACCTGTAAAAAGTTCTGTCTCACCTGGAGGCTCGTTTTCCTCTTCTCTGTTCACCTACAATCAGAAGAAGGAAACAGAATCACATTCAGTTTTAAACTTGAACCAGTTGATCTTACAGAGAGGAGGGCAGCTCACCTGTGCAGCACAGTGTTTCCAACATACACCAAATATGAGCAGAAATATGAGCGGCACACGTTTTAAGTTAAAGCTGTCTGTGTGCAGCATCTTGTGACCGAGTTAAATGACTGAAATGTGAGAAGAGGTGAAGTCGAGTCGACGCTCTCCGCTTCAGGTAAACTGCTGTTTTCCTTTCTGGTCTGAGCAGCTGAACCTCATCAATTTGCTGATTGAGCTTCCTGTGCTGGAGGTTAGTATCAGATCTGTCCAGCAGGGGTCACAGTTGTATTTTACATTCAGTCCTTTTCATGCTTCACTTCAACACATTGATCAGCAGCAGTGAAAATGTACATTTTACTAACTCTTTGTTTTTCACCTTTGTTTCACAACAGGAAGTGGTAGGAAAGGAACTGTCAGTTTTTATATAAAACACCACAAATAAGACGATAAATATCGAAAAAACATTTCAAATGTGTCCACAGCAATGCCAATCTAGAAAATGTGAGTTCATAATAACATTAATAATACAATCATTTTGAATAATTTCTAAATACATGTCATAATTTTTTTTAATTATTATTATTTATTTATTTATTTTTAAATTGCACTTGAAAGTGTTTTACTTCATTACTTTTTCTTCCGGTAACAAAATAATGGAAAATTAAATTTTTGCTTATATTTTATTTATAAAAAAAAAAACAAAAAAAAAAACACAATTATACATACAAGACACAAAAAGATTATTTTTAATTTTACTCACGAAGGGGAAAAACCATAAACTATTAAAAAAAATATATAAACAAACTACAGAAAAGACAATGACTTGGTCCTTAGTCAATACAAATACAAATATACAGGATCAATTCTCAGTAACAGCAGCAACAGTTGGGATGTTAAAAACAATGAATACAGAGTGTTTTTTCAGTGTTTTTTTACTGTACAAATGTGAAATTAGAAAGTCTGTGGAGATCTATGCTGTCCTTGTAGTGGCTTATTAAATATCATTGCACCATCGAGATTAAATCTCCCATCATCTCCCTTTAGCTTTAAATACATGAGCACGGTGCATATTGAAAAATGTCTGTAAACATGAATAATATCCACCGGAAAATCAACACGCACGTGATAACGCTGCTAATTTGCAGAGTGGCTCATGTGATGTGAAGTCACATGGAGACAGACAGACATTTACCCCCCAAACTTTTCATCTGATGCCACTATAACGAGCGTAAATTTCCCCTTGTCCTTTTCTGGATGTAATCATCCCTCCTGTCCATACTGGCCATGCAGAAATCCCTTTTGAATCTCTTCCACAGTCTGTGTTCACTGTACAACATATATCCAAAAGTTCAGCTAAGCTAATATGAGCAAGTGAGTTAATAAAAACAAGTTAATATTTTACATATTTACAGTTTCTTTGGTCCCTTTGTGTTTCAATTCCTCGACTGCACAGAAACACTAAAATAAAAAGAGGGAATTTTGTAATAAAAGTGCGAACTTTGGAAGATCACCACTTGTTTTGGCTCATTTGACCTTTAGATAAAGCGTTGAATAGATTTTCTCACAGAGCGAGGACTCACTCACGCTGAATGACACGAGGAAGGGATCTTTGTAATGTGTTGTATGAACAGGAGGAAGATCACGTCAACCAAAAACTGATTCCGAGTTTATATGGGCGAAATAATCAACCTGCACGTATGCTAACTGCACATATACAAACATTAGCGTTACCATGGTAACATAGCAGTGGTAGCATTAGCATGTAACATACAGAGCACAACATAATTCTTGAAGGACCAGTGTGTAGGATTTAGTAGAATCTATTATAATATAATATTCGTAATCACGTACGTTAGCTCAGATTGAGCCCTTCATATCTACATAGCGTCCATGGAGCCCGCCATGTTGCACCGCCATGTTTCTATAGTAGCCACGAATCAACAAACCAAACACCGACTCTAGACAGGAACCTTTTGCATATTTATTTTACCTGAAGGTCGCCGTAGGTTCTCCTACACGCTTGGTCGCAGCTGGTTGCAATCTACAACCTCACCACTAGATGCCACTAAATCCTAACGCATTGGACGTTTAACCACATTACATCGATTTTAAGGAAAGCTCAAAAACAGGGTAATTAAACCCAATATGATGGATATAGTTTTAAAGTGTCGATACACATTATTTTTAACCCTGACACGACCAACTCTGAAATTACACATCTGTCTTCAGTTGTCCAATGACGACTGCGAGTCCCAAACATGAGAAACTACGTACTAAACTCTAACATTAGCCTGCTGCATGCTAACCTTATGTTTATATGTGTTAGCAGTTACCATGTGCAGACATCGGGGTATCCTCCACACATGCTCTCTTGCTGACATTAGCGGCAGTGAGGGAAAATGTTTGCCAAATATGCTGCTTTCTTTTTTACGTGAATATAAAACTTATGGAAAAGAAATTATTCACAAATACAGTTGACTTTAAAATACAGTTAATAAATTATTTAAATTCCTTTAAAATGCTAACACAGAGGTTGTTCAGGATTTAAAATAATTTAAAAAGGTTAAATGCAAACAATCATTGACGGCGTTCACTGGCACTCCAGCTCCGGACGGACGATCCACGACCAGATCTTCAACATCTCCTGCGGCGTCCGGCTGTGAACCAGCATCAGGCTCCTGTAGATGCAGCTGTTGTGCCTGTACTTCTCCTCAATGTCAAAGGTCCTGAACCCACTGTGCTTCTCGGGAGCCAGACCCAGCTTCCTCAGACACATCCCCGTATATACGTCATCAATGGGATACAGGACGACCTGTTGAGAGATGTTGTGAAGGCGTAGCGCCAACTCCCCAGAGTACAGGTAACCTCCGCCGCCGGCGTAGGGCGGGTACCAGCCCACAAACACGCTCTCAGGGATGAAGTACTTCAGTTTTTTGTCTCGGTGTGGACCTGCGTTGCTGATGACGTCGCCTATGAACAAATCCTTCGCCTTGACCTCCGACAGGCCTTCCAGGAAGTCGATAATTCGCAAAGTGTTGACAAAGACGTCGTCGTCGCCCTGGAGGACATACTGGGCCTGGGGACAGTTTTGGCTGAACCACTCCAGGAAGAGGACCTCCTTCAGGGTGAGGTTGAAGAAGGTGTCCCGATAGTCCCACTGGAGGAGGTCTTTGTGGAGTTTCGCCTCGTGGCCCACCATACCCAGCAGGTCTGGGAAGTGGTCCATTGACATGGTGTCGCCGAGCAGGAACACCGTCGCCACGGTCCGATTGGCTAAGACGCCCGCCCGTCCCCAGGTTTCACGAATAGCCTGCCGACGGTCAAAATGCGGGGTCAGGGACTTGACCGCCAACAGCAGGAAGGGTTTCTCGTCACAGATGCGGCGCTGGTTTATCATCATGGGGTACGTCCTGCAGCGCATGTGCAAAAGAAAATCCTGGAATTGCTTTGGGAGCGTGTTGTAGTCCACGATCTGCGTGGGGACTCTGTAGTCTGGTTCACAGGGGTCGAGGGGCCCGGTGTCGTTCAGCCAATCCGGCAGCTCGGCGACGGAGTTACCGGAGAGCGCGGGGTTGATGACGGGGTTGTAGATGAAGTCCAGGCGCTGCTGCTCCTTGTTCCAGAACGATGCGCTCACTGCGTGTTGCCGCCAAAACCTCTCGGTCGGGATTCGAATCACACGGTGGTCACTTTTGTCGTGCCCGTGGTTCCGCAACACGCCGATCAAGACGCAGAGGAAGACGTTGAGCATCATCACGTAGCACACCCTCGCTTTCCGGCAGGTCACAGACATGTTGCCTCCCCTTCGCACCTAGACAGACGAGATTTTAAAACTTAATAAACAAGAAACAGGATGAACTCTGCGGCGCCGCGGCCTCACAGGGAGGGACTTACAACAAACCCAGGATATAGAGGATCATTTGGAAACATAGTCGCAGCTGGGTTGACCCTGAAGTCTTCATCAGGAGGAAGAATCTGTTACAGCAGGTCAACAGGAAGCCTCACCTCCCCCCACCCCCATTTTGTTTCAGAGCGGCTGCATTTTCCTCCCTAATCCTGCAGGAATGGACCCATGAACATTTTTTCCCTCCTCTCCTCCTTATTCCCTCCTCCTCCTCCTCCTCCTCCGTCAGCAGCAACCGGAGTCACACGTTTCCAATTGAGCCGCCACGCACATGACGCCAGTTTACTGGCAGCGGTCTGTGTCATTGTTACTGGCTGCACACGCTTATTAATAACCCTGAGAATAACCCAGCAACTCACAAACACACACAGGAAATAGACTTTAGACAACGTTGTCTCTTTGCACCATGAACTAACATCCCGTTTTGTTTGGTTGAGATTGATTTTTATTTATTTATTTCTTCATTCAGGTAAATCCCACTGAGACAGAGATCTCCTTTTCAAGAGAGATCTGAATGTACATTAAAAAAACAAACATAATAAAAAACTATTCATGAACAGATAGAAAAAAAAAAACTTTACAAACAGTTTAAATAACAAAACGATAAAATTATGAAACCACCGAACAATTGCATTCTGTTTTGGGAAGGTTAAAAATCTTATTTCTGAAAAGTGGATAACTTATAAAATGATAATAATGATAATAATAATCTTAATTTACAGAGCCTTTTTCAAAGACAGCAAAAAAATAAAATTAATCAATAGATTTCAAAGAGAAGAAATACAGATAAAACAATTAAAACAATCAGGAGTCTAAGAGAGTAATTTTAAGAGAAGTCAAACAATTCAAGGAAAATTAAAACCAGGAAAAGCTCTCAGATAAAGGAGTTTTTAAGAACTATGTTTGTCTATTTTCACTGAGTTAACAAATAAAGCAAATGCAGCATAATTTCTTTTTTCTGCGGCACAGGAAAGGAGCGAGTTTTGCACACAAGTTATTTATCACAAAAATTCAAAACAAACATTATAATCACACAGGGAAATCTTTTGATTTTAGTTGATGCCTCTGCCTCATGTCACCAGAGTGAAACTAGTTTTATAGTTACTAGTGAAAATAACAGAGGGTGTTGCCTTTCAGTCCGATCTCCAATCCACTATCAGCATAGAGAAAAGATTGAACCGCACAAATGAAATACCCTCTGATCTATGGAGGACCAGGGACGTCACAGGAAAGGTAACAAAGCATTTCCTTAATTTCATATTTTACTAGGCATGAAGATAGGAATTGTAAACAGAATTGTAATATAAAAGAATGATTGATACGTCGATAAATACTTAAGATTTAAATGTGGATTTAAAAAACACTTGTTTAATACACTGTTTATAAATACATTCATTAATACAATAATTAATGCAATTTGAGAAACTATTTGAAAAGACATTTTTAAAACGCTTCAATATCTTTTTTCCTCTTTCCAGCTGCTTTTTCCATTTCCTATTAGCTAATTGATTAGCTTCGTCATTTAGCCTTTCTGTGACACTCTGGGCTTTCTGTGCAGGTAAAAGATATAAGATATAATATGATTGGTTAGCTCTCCAACCAATCAGAGAGCTTGTTACATCCCATGGGGAATGTTCAGCCTGGTTTTACCACCGAAGACCCAGAGTGTCACAGAAAGGCTAAAAGGAGAGGCTAAGTGACTAAGCTAATCCATTAGCTAATAGGAAAAAGAAAAGCAGCTGTAAAAAGGAAATGAAAATTGAAGAGGGAATCTAGTTATTTATTCTTTTCAAATAGTTTTTCTATTATTTATTCATGAATTAATAAATGTATTTAATGAGGATTTTATGCTGTTTTTAAATCTGAAGTATTTATTGATGGATCAATCATTTATAAATTATTCTTACAACTCCTGTTCTTAATGCCTATTGAAATATGAAATTAAGGAAATGCTTTATTACTTTTCCTGTGACGTCCCTGGTCCTCCATACTGATCAGATGTTTCTCCTGCTACAACAATCGATGCGCTGTTCAGACTGATAAACTGAAGGTCGATACTGCAATAAACATGTAATTTAATCAAACAGCCACAATAAATCCCAACTTTCATGAATGCTGTAATGTTCAGTTAAGAGAAAGGTGTTGATTAAACTTTATGGTCATTTTGGCGGCAATATTTTACTTTCCTGTAAACCGAGGCGTCAGTCTTTATACATCAGGGATCTGATATCAGGATATAAATATTTATTATATTATTATATCGTCCTGGTTATAGTTTGCATTGAGAACTAGAGACAGATTATGGAGGACGTTCAGACAGGTGTGTGCAACACTCCTTTATTCTGCTGCTGATTCTATAAGAAGCAGCAGCAGAATAAAGATATTCTTTAATGTAATAGCTTTACCATATGTTATTGTTGTCACCATATTTTTTACTCCTCCTCTTCCCCCTTTAAAAAAATGTAACGCAGTAAAGTTTACTCAGAGTGCAGTTTAACTGCTGTACTTTGTATCTGAGTACATTATTACACAAGTCATTTTACTTCTTACTCAATTTCTGTTACCACCCACTGATATCACACACCTGAGAGTGACGGAGAGATGGCGGATCAGTTGGGTCTGGTGGAAACCCAGACCTCTCCTGGCCTCATGTGGACGAGCTCCAGGACGGAGAAGGTTGCTGCTGTCATTTCCGGCGCCATCTGCAATTTAACAAAACGACAGAAGTGTGTGAACAAACGGATCTTAAGAAGCTGCAACGATTATCTAGGATTGTTTTAGACTATACATCGTGATCAATTGTTGAGACGTTTCCAGCTCTGTCATCAGTAACGTCACGACAGTGATCCTCTCCGGGACAAACGAGGAAACAGACCTGTATATCCACACACCTGAAGACTGATGCACTAATGTGAACTCAACACGCATAAACAGAGCAACAACTGCGAGATATCAAAGGGGAAATGAAAGGTCACTCCAGGGCAAATCTAATTTACTGCCTCCCGGTGATAAGTGATATTACAGCTCAGAGAGCAAGTCCCGTCTGGCGAGTTCACGTCCTGATCTGCAGAGATGTCATTCAAGCGTAACTACTAACATACAGACAGATGTTGTCTGTGTGTGTGCGTGTGTGTGTGTGTGTGTGTTTTACTGACTTTCACAAGGAACTAAAGGTTGATAGCGACACCCAGACTTCACACGATCAAAGGTTGTTGCGTTTGCTGCTGAAAGAAAACACTTGTTGTGATTCAGGTGACAGGAAGTCAGGAGGGAAATTTGGGAGAAAATGCAAATAAGCCGCTGATGTCTCTAAAATACTAAAATATAAAACATTCTGCAGCCAGAGACCCTGCAGAGACAGAGTTTGAGTCGACTTTCTGCTCCCAGGTGAGAAAATGGACCAATTCTTTTCTGATCGTTCCTGTTCACTGATCCCTTTTTAATAGTTTCTGTGCTGTCAGCTGCGTGCTCGTTTTATTTCACACAATTTATTAAAGAACAAACAAACAAAAACATTCAAACAAGCACAAAACCGAAATAATGAATTTCTGTTTCCACCATTAAAGGCTCGGGTCGTTCGTCGCCCTGAGGTTTGCTTCCTGATTCCAGAACCAGAACCAGCTCAAGGCCCCGATCAAATAGAATAAAGGTTTCACAAATCAGCAACGGTGTTTTAAAGAGTCCTCGGCCTCTCTGGGGTTAGGATGTAGACCAGATGTGACATTTGTAAGTGTGGTGGGTTTTGATCTAGATGCAGAAAAACGCAGTGAAACGTCCCTTTGTTGCATTTTTGCATTGGAGTCTGGAGTGTGACGAACACTTCCCCATCTTATATACTTCTCCATCATGATCATCCTTATCATAATAAGTCTAACTCCAGAGTTCATTTCATTCTCTTCAGTTGGAGCCACAGTATCAGCCATAAGAAAACTCCAGTGCAGACTTGAACACTCCTTAGGTGTCATAAACTCATCTAACGTGTGTGATCTTCTTGGTGTTTAATCAGGGCAGCCAATTAGATGCGACTTCATACTTTAAACTAGGACACTTGGACCTCCGCCAAGACCAATGTCAAACAACATACACCAGACTTCAGAGGAAAGAAAATACAGATTCACATGACCTGATCCGGATCTGGCCAAAACTTTAACGGCTGCCTCTCTGGGCCATGACTCGTCCCGCCACCAAGTCCGGCGCAAATCGGTTCAATACTTTTTGCGTAATCGTGCTCACAAAACAAATAAATAAATGAAACCTACTCGGCGGAGGAAACAAATCAAAGGTCGCAGTGTTGCACTGTCAGCTTCCATTAAACAAACTTTTGACTCAAAGTGTCCTCACTGATGCGCACATTCAGCCAACAGGACGAGCTCGTGCCCGGACTCATAAATCACACCTGCACATGTACAGACCTGCAGCAGCCTCTCAGCCCGGCTCCGGAGTCCTCGTGCTGAGGTGGAGGGGAAGTCCGGAGCGGATCAACAGGCAGCTGCCGGTGTCAACGCGCCGCCTTCATCCTTCATGTGGCGCGCTTTGGTAATTTCTGGCCGCGCGCGCGGTAACCCTCATTAAAATATTACCTGTGTGAATCCCGACGGTTCGTCAGTCATTGAAATCTCTGGACATGGACATTAAGGTTATATCCAGTCCTCAGTGAGCGGAGACAGGTACTGTAGAGGTGAGTCTCCGTCGTGCGCACTGACTCCTCCTCCTCCCTCAGGTTGAACCGGAGCTTTCAGCTGCCTGGACTGATCTTCAGGGGCGGATTGAATGATTGTGGGGCCCCGGGGCTCAACAGCCTGACTCCCTCTCTCGTCTTTTCACCTCAGCCTTTAACTAGCTCTGAAACTTTATTTTAGCTGCTATTTATTTTATTTATTGTTATTCTTACTGATTGTATCCTTTCTTCTTCTTCTTATTATTATTATTATTATTATTATTACTGGAGCTTATTCTGTGCAAATACTTCATGAAGTGGTTCCCTACATGAGTTTCATAGGTCTCCAAAAAACCTCAACACCAACATTTTATGGTCTCTGGAAAAACCTTTATAAAACGGCTTGATTGACACTTTGATAATTAGCCACAAGTAGATTTGACTTTCATTTTAAGGGGTTATCAAGGACGCCAGACCCTTTTAGAAGTATGTGTGTGCGTGTGCAGCAGCACGTCAGCTGGTCCTCTGGTAAAGAAAGAAAAAGATTCAAGTAATGTGTTTACCATACATTTTATGTACTTTATTTTGAAAAAAGGAAATCAAACAGAAAAAGCTTTGTTTATTTCCTCACTGAGCTCATATGAAACCTCAACACTTGAGCTTCCTTCACTCACAGGGATCAAGCTACAAACTGCTCTACAGTAAAAACACAGACATTTTTTTTGTGACTGATTCTTGTGAAATATTCTTCCTGTTTCATGTTCGTCTGCTTTATTTTACCTGATGTCTAAGAGTGAACTGGAATGATTGAAACAGTGGTCCACAACTCAAAAACAACGTGGGACAGGCCTGCTTCTTCACCGGGGCTCCCTCCCCTTGTGTTGCCACCATGTCAATGAGGATGTCCTTGAGCTACCCGAGATAGCGGACGACTGCACGTAGGTCGATGTTGTTGTTTTCTCAGACATCGCTGAACTGCAATTTTTTAATGATCCAAAAACAGAAATATCACAAAAATCTCTCAGAAAAAAAATCACTCAGACGTGAAAACTCAGCTCCATCTTACCACCCCTCATGGAGGATATATATATAATGCTGCTGTTTAACATGTGCAGGTCGTAAGATTTAATCTGTACTGGACAAAGTTGGACCTGTTATTCATCCTCACCCTGATTATAATCTTTATGCATTTGGAGAGTTTGTTTATTTACTCCTGCATGAGCTTGATGAGTGCCATATATTTTAGATTACCCATTTGCTCTGTAGCCTGACCCGCTCACACCGACACGTTGAAAAACTGATGTTGTGAACGCAGCCTTGGTTACAGTCCATGCTTCTGTTATAACATCTCCACAAGGTGCGAACTACCTGCCAACAAGCAAAGCGATAAGATATGAGGCGATATTCAAATGCTCTGACTTCACTGAGGTTTATCACAAAGCAGGCGTGACAAAGATGAGGAAATATTTACACTGATACACGATTCTCTCCTCGTCTAGATTTTTAAAACTAAACAAATAAAGCTTTAGAAGTGGACAAAGAGACATCCTGTTCATATCACAGGAAATATTCTGTTATTGTTGTATATGTGGCTGTTGAACTGTAAAACTGGCCATCGTTTCAGTATTTGAGACATAGAGAGAGAAGAGGGAAAAATCAAGGCAAACTTGTGATCTAGTAACTGGCACAAATCTGTATATACAGTATCAGATGACAGTCCATGTCCAGGCATAAATTTGCATTGGGTTCAATCCCGCAGCTGGAAGGCAGAGCTGTGACCTGAGACAGGTTTATATGGTTCCAACTGTGCTGACGTACGAGTTGTTTGTTGTTTTGTTGTTGTTGTTTTAGTGGAGAGTTTACGAACTGCACTTAGATTCTTAAAGGACACTCAAGCTGAAACCAAAGCGTTTCTTGAAGCCGTGGTGTCACACTCTGGTGTCCTGCAGGTTTTTTGTTCCTCTAAAGAATTAATGAGCCACACATCTACCTGACACCAGGTGGGCTCAGGACAGTCTGACGCCTCTGTCTTAAAGGGACAGGCGCCTCACACTAACCGTTAATGGCAATAACACACCAGTTTTTATCAGTCCAACCTGGACTTTGTTAGCTGTTATTGTTTGCTTTGGCTTGCAAACATGCTGACCTAATGTTGTACCGAATTAAACTGAATTGAATGTCTAAGTGACAAGTTAACATTTAGCATGTTCAATCACTAATCTTAGCATTAGTTACTAAGTTAGCATTCGAGATAGCAAAATAAACCAACCACATGGTTGTGTTTTCTTCTGGCCCAGTATAGGCACGGTTCCATGGCCCGAGGTTGGCCCATATATGGCGTGACTGTCAGATGCTACTTCAACATCTGAACCAATCCTGGCGCACACACAGACAATCTTCCGGGAACACCAGAGGATTACAGCCGGAATCTGCCCAGATGTTGAAGTATATATGGGCCAGACTTGTACCGAGAAACCAGGCAGATGTTGGGCCAGAGGTTTCATCTTGCTAATATTAGCTAAAGTTAGCATGTTAAAAAGAACGGAATAGAAAATTTTGCATGCTAACAATTTATGCTAATGTTATTGTTAACGTTTGTCATTCGCTTCCGTTAGCATCGATGTTCCTGGTGTGATGTAAAACAAAAGCCGTCACTCAGACTAAACACAAAGCTGATTTTAGACTCGTATGAATTTTAACGCTAGAATATTCTTTTACAGTTTTTATCAAACAACACTAGTGGAAACATTTTCAACTTGGAGTGGTTGCACCTCCGGCTGAATGAACGTTTTTGCATCCACGCTCGTCTTTGCATCGACTTTGTGTGGATCCATATCGCTGCATCTCGGACATTTACTCCACCTTCAGTCTGAACGCAGCTTTAGAATCAAAGTTAAATCATTTTAATCATAATTTCCACATTGCATCGTCGTGTTTTTACTACTAAATAGTTTGTTTGTTGCTCTTTTTGCAGCTATGATCAGAGAGGAACCATGATCCCGTCAGAGGAGGACCACACTAACACCCTGTGACACACAACAGTAAAACAGTGCAGCACTTTGAATGATGGAAGGTAAAGAAAGGAAACAAAACTTTTGGTCCATCAACAAGTCACTTCCTCCAGAGTCATATGTGAGCACGAACAGAAGTGTATGGCGATCATATATCTTTTTAACAGGATGTCCGTTCAGGGTCCATTCTGTGTGATGCTGTTGAAGGAGATGAAACAGATCCAACAGGAAGAGACGGCTGGAGAATCACAGTGTTTCTCTGCTGTCTGAGACAAACTCTCACACACAGAGTTGTTTTTTTGTTTTGTTTTTTAGGTGCGGTGAACGATCCTGTCGATGCTCTCCTGGATGTCGGCCATCTTCTTCAGCATCTGGTTCACTCTGGCCTCGTCAAACTCCAGACACACAAACTCCGAGTCCTGAGAGAGGAAGGAGGAGAAAGAAGACATTAACCCTTTAACAAGGGAGTGCCCGACAGTCGGAGTCCAAAATGTGGGATTTCAGTTTATTAGCTCTGACAGCGAAGCGGCTGATTGGTCGGTCCAGAGTGAAACATCACGCACACAAAAAAAACAGCAAATTGAAACTGTCAAATTGTGGATTGTGGGAGTTTCACTTTACAGAAAATAACATGTTGTTTGATTCGAAAGACTCTGTAGAGGTGAAAGGGAGAGGTTTAGAAAAACAACAGGAAGTCAGTTGTAGTAGTCTGGCCCACTTCTTAATAACACTTAAAACCCTTGACACCGTTGCCCTTATTTGCGTCAAATTTCATCCTTGTCCTTATTTGAATCATTAAGTCAATTAAACCTGAACACACGGACATGATGCACGTGTTTTTAGATTCAGTGTGATGTGCACTTTCCGAGGATATCATCACCTCTGAGGTCCATTGCAAGTAAACGCCAATAAATTCACTTCGAAAATCACAGAAAAAAAAAAGATTTGTAAGTCCAGAACTTAACAGAGAATCATGATGTTTTTAAAGTTTCCTTCAGTATCACAGTAATCCAGTGACAGCCGTCTCCTCGCGCAGGGGTTGTGCTAACAGCTAATTCGGCAGGCTTCTAATAGGGACAATTTTCTTTTCAAAGTTTTAACATGTGACGGACACGTAAAGTTAACAGACTGACTCCATGACTGTATGGGAACTGTAGTCCCAAAACAAAAAACAGCATTCAGTTCCACAGCGTCAGACTTTGACACCTGCAGCAGATGGTGTGACGCAGCAGCACGAGCTCTTGTTACCGCCCTGCTCCGTGTTCACGACATGCTACTTACAATTTAATGAAGTCTACCTCGACTATGATATACGGGGGGAATCCCATCTGCCCCGCCTTTGTTTCCTCCGATTGTCATTAAGAATGGATGTCACGCCGTGATATTCCCTCTCCCGGTTTCCATGGACACGGCTCTCTGCCTCTACCCAGAGTCTATTGTTCGGTCAGAACCAAAGTCTGTCAGCACAGAACTCGTAACATGTTTCTTCGACCGAAAGATTAGATTAGAAAGTCTTTCCCGTCAACACAACCAAAACCAATCACAGACAAAATAATACAACAAATAGAGACGTAAAACCGTGTGACATACAGTAGATTTCATCATAATAAGTTGCAGTAAGATGTGAAGCTGACGGGACAAATGACCTCGAATGTCTGTTGGATTTGGCTCCTAGAGAAAGTTTACCCCCTCCCTGAGTCAAGTTTAACACAATTAATTAATTATAATTATTTTCATTATCAATTCAACTTTTGATTGATTTCTCAGTTTTTCAATCTATAAGGAAACAGGGAAATCACCGCCTCATGATTGTATGCTGTGTGAAGTCTAAGGTAATGGCTGACGTGACCTTTGACCTTTAACCACCAAAATCCAACCAGTTCGTCCTCGAGTCCAACTGAATGTTTGTGCCACATTTGAAGACGTTCCTTCAAGGCGTTACTGAGATATCGTGTCCACAAGAACGGGACGGACCCAAAAACAATATGGCGCTGACGCGAAGACGTACTTATGACTTTCGCACGTCCCCGCAACTCAAGGTAACGTCCTCATTTCAACCAACAGTTTAAATCCCTTCAGCTGTGACCGTACTTCGCATTTCGAGAAGCCGGAACCAGACGACAATAACAGATGATGATGAAAACCGTCACAGTCCAGTTTGTGCAGAAATAAACCAGGTTCCTCCAATGGGGGTTCAGGAGCATCGCGTCGTCCAGCTCGTCCGGGACGCGAGAGAGTTTCAGGACACCTTCATGGTCGACGCTACACATTCACCTCCTCCACCTACTTCTGCAGCCTTCAGGCGTCTATTGGCTTTAATTAGTTTTGAACTGAGCGGACTCTAATAATAGCGTGTGCGCATCCTACAGTGATTCAGTGTCGTCCCAGGATAGCAGGAGTGTGCTGCCCCACTGTGCTGACCCGGTTTCTCTGAGCTGTGGGACCTCCAGTCTGAATATTTACAAGCTCCAGCCCAGATTGAGAAGCACAATCATTACTAATACTGTTCATTCAAACCTCTGCAGCTCGGCTGTTAACCACAACCAGGAGGAGGGAGCACATCAGTCCAGCTTTAGCTGCGCTGCACTCGCTTCCTGGTACATTTACAATTGATTTCAAGCTCCTCCTCCTTATATACGAAGGCATTTATTGGCAAGGACCAAACTACGTCATTAAATCCCTGATTATATATCCACCTCCAAGAACACTGAGGTCATCTTCTTTTAAATATCTTCTTATTTAATGATTTATTATTTTATTCCTTATTTTATCTCATCTTACATTAATGTTTTTCATTTTAATCAATGCTTTTAACATGGTTTTATGTTCTTTTGACGTCTTTTCATGTGAAGCACTTGATGCTACAGTTCTTGTATGAAAGGTGCTGTACAAATAGAGTTTATTATTATTATTATTATTAATACTACTGACATTCACACATCCATACTGTTTACATCTCGTGTTACTGATCAGTGATTTGGTATTAAGCACTCTGAAGATATCTGGCAGCAGATCAATGTTAGGTGTTTAAGATAAAGGTTTGATAAAAACCTTTATTTATTCGGGGAAGTGTCACTGAGGTAAACGCTCTCTTGCAGCACCATGAGTCTCTACGGCCGAGTGAACGGAGGAAGTATGTGGAAGAACAGGCCCGGCTTCTCCTCACTGGATTGTCACACCTCGGCATGTGACAAATACAACTTCCATATGTATGCGATAATATGTATATCATGATGTTTGGGCTGGACTGTATCGAGAGTGGATTTTAAAAGATGTGGAGGTGTTTTGTTTAATTTTTTTTGTTTTTTTTTTTACTCATGACCTGCACTTTCCAGTATTATCAACCGCAATCAAACCGACAGCGTGGACCTGAACGCCACTGAATGGTCGCGCCTGTTTCCGTCCTGCCAGTCTTTCCACTCTGTTTGCCAGCTTCTCTTTGTGACTCACCTGCCAAGAGCTCGTCATCACAAATTCATTTACCCCATTACCTTCACAGGTCAAAATAACTAAATATCAGTTAGTTGGAATTTTAATCCCAGACTGATGGTAAAGAAGATGATAATTAAAATCTGGTGCAGCAGAAACAGAAAGACAGTATTTATTCTCTTTTTGCAAAGTGATTCGTCGGTGGTGCGCAATGAATCTTGGGATAGGTTTGGCTGTGGAGGATCCACCCGGCTGGATCCTCGGACGCATTTGAAGTAGCCTTAGAAATGGGACGGCCTTGCTGCACCGCTGTGACGCAATCCGTCTTCAAATGCAGCCTCTGAATGGAGACACAGCTACAGACTTCGTTCTGCTCATTTCAGCTTGTTAGGTGCAAATTTAAGACCCTCAGTTTTATGTTTTCCACCAAAATGGATGTTGTTTTGAAATGAAGGTCACCATTTTACCAGCAGCAGCGCGCTCAGTGGTATTACCCTCTGGGAGGGGCTCCGAGACTGTTCTCAGATCAGGACCCAGATCGAGTAAATTTAGCCACCTCACGGGACCGAGGTTTATTAAAATCAACCGGTAATCCGGTCACGTCACAGAACCAGGCCTCCGTCTTCAAAACCAGCCCGAGCTTGAGCAGTCAGCTGAATGGATGTCCAAACACTGGTCGCCAAGTTAAATGTTAATATTTGATTTCTATGGTTTTAACTCGTGTATATATTATGAATATTTTAGCTGATGCAACAACTGAAGCTGTGTCTGTTACTGATGCTATAGTAGAGAGACAGCACTATTTTCTATTTTGTGTCGCACTACTTTTTCTACACGTTGTCACTTTTCTAATGTGAATGCAGCACATACTCAAATACAGGTTTAAGTCTTTTCAGGGTGTTAAACTTTAACGTTACAGGAATTTGAAGTAGAATTTGTTTTGGATTTACCTGAAAATTTAATTCATTTTCTTCCAATTGTAAAAAACTTATTAATTATTAATTATTATTAACTTATTTTAGTCTTTTATCCTGTAATGTGTGTTTAACATGTGTTTTATGTTTGATTCCACGGTTTGAAGTTCCTTTTTTAGTTGAATATGTGAAACTGTGAAGCTGAATGAGTGTCAGAGGAAACACAGGACGTAGGCCTCACCTGTCCGGCCCTGCCCAGTTCCAGCTCCATCAGGGCGACCGGGCCGCTGTGGGCTGCGTCCCCCCGGCTGGCGGCGGTCTGGAGGTCCACCCTCCAGGAGAGGCCCCTGAGTCCGGGCTCCCAGCGGCTCTGAGACAGCAGGCTCTCCCTCACCCGGACCCGCTGGCTCTTCCAGAAGCGAGAGAGGGCGGCGGCCTGTTCGGCGTTCACCCCGCCGCTGCCCTGCTTCCTGGTCTGAGCTGTGAGGAAGGCCTCCAGCTGGGCGTGGTCCATGTCTGCTGTGGCGATAGACTGAGGAAGGAGGGAGAAGAGGAAGAGGAAGAGGAGGAGGAAGATCAGCTGAGGTGCAACACAAAAGCTGCAGCACCAATACAACAGATCACTGTCAGGACTTATTCTTAAAAATAAAAGTCACTTTATTAGGTACACCTGGCTAAAGCTGATGCCGTCTAACACTAAGTCCTCCCTTCATGTTGATGTTGATACGACTTTTGGGTTACTTTGGAGGCTGTAGTTTGTGCTGCTGTTGAATTATGGTGCCTCCTATATGTATATATGTACAATATATATATTATATATATTTTTTCCCACCCATTTATATCAGTTTGGATATACAGTAAACAATATAAACACCTCAGTAACATGATTAAATACAATAAACAAGCTGCACATTATCTCACTGTTGTTTTCTTGTATATAGTATTTATGTTGTTTTTATTATTAATTGTTTTTTAATGGACTTGTAATCTTAATGAAACGTTCGCTTGGTTAAATAAAAGCAAAAATAGAAAAGTAAATCTTATTCTGATGTTGACCTCAGTGCAGGTAACTGTGCACCTGGAACAACAGTGATGATATTTATGTAGGTGCTGCCCCCTGCTGACAACAGGTGAGACAAACAGGAATAAACTTATGAACGAGAACACATCAGTTCCACCACTCTTTATTACCAGTCCAGACAGGATTTGCATACATGTGTTGTTACCTGATAATAACCTGAAAACCTTTACAAAGCAGAATCTGTTTCTACTTTCAAAGCTCTTTAACAAACTGTTGATTAAGCTTGACTTCTGGTTGATATTAGTGACATTATATTTCTTATTTTTTCAGCTGCAGCTTCTGTTAAATACCCAAACTGCAAAGTAATACTGTCAGTTGCCTTACACAATTCAATTCAATTCAATGGCTTTATTGTCATATGCAGAAATAAGTTATCAGTCAATCAATCCATCATGTTGCCATCAGTTATTGTATCAAACTAAAATGTAATAGAAACTAATAAGTTAAAAAGAATAATAACTTTACAATAAGACTCCCCTTCTAAAAGATTTATGAATGGTTTATAACTATTTATTTATTAGCTTGTTAACACTTTATAAATCAGTTATAAGCTGTTATAACGCATCAGATAAAAAGGGCAACAATAACCCGTTGCTTGCCAAATAGTGAGCCCACATTTATCTGTCCTGTTCAGCCTCATAGCTCTTTGTTCTCTTCATCATCAGTGTTTGTACCTGCTGCTTCATCACATGTTACAATGAGGCTCCTTTTTTTTACCAGTTATAAATGGTAGTTATTAGTAAGATTAATGAGTAGTAAGCATTAACTTGATCTTGCCAAATAGTGAGCCTGCATCAATGTATGAAAACTGTGTTATAACTTGTTTATAATCGTTTATTTACGATTTATAAAGTGTAAATAACTGAATTATATAACCTAATTATAAACCATTTATGAATCCTTTATAAGGGTAGCCTTATTGTCCATTTACACAGGCCCACATTAGTACATACTCACCTGCACACATAGGCTGCATACTGAGGTGCACATTATATTCATTACACACATTAACGTCAACGAACACCGGGCTTTACGAATGCATGAATTATAATAAATGTAGTATTATTTTTTTAAGCAGCTGTTTTCACACACACACAGTGAGAGCTGAGACTGAGGAGTTTATTTACCTTTATGAGGCCTTTCATCTTGTCGTGCAGGGCCGTGAACGCGTCCTGCGGCAGCTCCGGGAACAGCTCGCTCTTCAGCAGCTCCTCCGTGATCTCGCTGTTGTTGTAATAAACTTTCTGAGCGATTCCGTTCAACAAACCGCTCAGAGACTTCGCTGCTTCTGCATCCGCCATGTTTTTTTTTTTTCCTCGTCGCTGCGGTCACATGACGAAGCCGATATCGGGAACGTGTCACGTGAAGTCCGGCACAACGCGGCATTGTGGGAGATGTAGTTCTACGCGCCAGAAACTTATTTTTTTCCCCCTTCCACTTTGTTCTTACTAAGATTGCTCGTCAATAAGGGTTCAACAAGTTGAGCATTACCTTAATTTCATATTTTGATAGACATTAAAAAAAGAATTGTAAAAAGAATTGATAAATGAATGATTTATCCATCAATAAATACTTAAGATTTAAAAATGCATTTACAAAAACAGTATTAAAAAACCCTCATCAAATTAACCATTTATAAATTAATTTAATAATTCATGAATAGATAATAGAATTTGAAAACCTATTTGAATAGACATTTTAAAAATGGGAATAAATAGCTTATTGATTAGTTTTGTCATTTAGCTTCTCCTGTTAGCCTCTCCTGTTAGCCTTTCCATGACACTCTGGGCCTTCAGTGCTGGTAAAACCAGGCTAAACAATCCCAGTTGGCCATGGGATGTAACAAGCTCTGGTTGGAGAGATAAACAATGGGTTTTTGCAAGGCTATTTAATCAGCATTTTTACTGAGGAAATTGATTATTACTATTATTATTATTATTGTTATTATTATTGTATGGTGTTTTTTTTCATAAAGAAAGTCAAACTTTGAAAAAAAAGATTCTTAAAACCACAAATATATTTTTTAAAGGATCAACACTTCGTTAATCAGACTCCCTTATCTAATATTGCCTGTAGCAGTGTACTCTACATGACATGCTGATTAACACACACAGACAGACAGGAGTGGATGCTGAGCCAAGCTTTAATCAGAAAGAACACATCATCAGATGATGTGTTAATACTTTACAGAAGTATAGAGTACAAGTATATAAGTACTTAAAAATACTGAAGACAGTTTACACAAGTTTCCCCCTTTATTTCAATTTAATAATGCAAAAACATTGGAAACAAAAAGAAAATTAGCTGTTCACTGTAATAAATCCTCATCAGTTAAACAGTATTATTACTCCATTTCACTAATGGAAAGGCACTAAGGTCCTGATCCCTGTTGTCGAGTGTTAATGAGCTACTTTTGTTTTCAAAGTACATATAGTTCAAGTGACTGCTTAGTACAAGAAATTGGGTTTGTGCTTATGTGGACTCACTTAAATGACTGAATTGATTTTGATACCTGCAACAACAGGTATTGAAAACTGTCACTTCTAGTCTTGTTTTGTTGCTCTTTGGACAGATGTAAGTCAAAATATTAGATTTTTTTAGCAAACTACACAAAAACAAAAACAAAAAATTAGGCCTAATGATTTCCGAAAAAACCCAAATGTCACAAAAAAAAAATGTATACGCTCACATGAGGTGGTTCTTCAGACTATTTGACAAAGCATTATTTCCCAAAAGTGGAATGGAAACATTTTTTTTCCACATTTATGTCACATGACGAAACATGACATCCAAAAACATTGCAGACTATTATCTCCTAAAAATCCCTGATACGTTGCTGCTGCCAGATATAAGGGGTTTGCTTTTCCATCATTACGTGCATCAGACGCCCTCATCTCCAAAATGAAATATTACAACGGCTAATTAATAGATGCCGAAAATCCGTCGCCACGTTTAATTGGAAAGATACTGCAAGAGGAGAAAACCCAGCTTTACTCGCATAACATTACTGAATGGAAACACAGAGCATTTGCAATTATGCTGTTGACGACTTTTCTAAAAAAAAAAGTACTTCTATTTTGCGCGAAACTGCGATGGAAAGGCAGCTACAGAGACTTTTGAAAAGGGCGGAGCCTTTCGGTGTCGAGGCCAAAGCTAAGGTGTCATATAGACATAGGCATTAAAAAATAAATTGAAATGCTCGAGAAGGGATTATGGAAAGGAAAAGAAGCAAGTGGATTTTTACGAAGCGTAGGGTATCGTTATCTTAGCTGAGTCATGGCAGTCTCTAGTAGTTTTCTACCCTCTACGCCAGCCTCGGAGCTTGCCCCATTTTCTACGTCTGCCGCCTCCTCTACGTTTATTGCCTCTGCGCTTGCCCCCTCTTCTACCTCTGCCCCTGCGCCCTCCACGAAGCTGACCCCATCCTTTACCCTTGCGCCCTCTTCTTTGCTTGCGCCATTTTCTAACCTTGCCACCTTTTTTACGCCTGCCGCCGCCCCCTCGACGCCCGCACCCTCCTCTACGCCTACATCTTCTTCCGACCTTGCCGCCGCCCCATCGACGCCCGCACCCTCCTCTACGCCTACATCTTCTTCCGACCTTGCCGCCGCCCCATCGACGCCCGCACCCTCCTCTACGCCTACATCTTCTTCCGACCTTGCCGCCGCCCCATCGACGCCCGCACCCTCCTCTACGCCTACATCTTCTTCCTACCTTGCTGCCGCCCCATCGACGCCCGCACCCTCCTCTACGCCTACATCTTCTTCCGACCTTGCCGCCGCCCCATCGACGCCCGCACCCTCCTCTACGCCTACATCTTCTTCCGACCTTGCCGCCGCCCCATCGACGCTCCGACCTCCTCCTCTCACGTCCTACCATTTCTCTTCCGACCCTTGCCGCCCGCCGCCCCATCGACGCCCGCACCCTCCTCTACGCCTACATCTTCTTCCGACCTTGCCGCCGCCCCATCGACGCCCGCACCCTCCTCTACGCCTACATCTTCTTCCAACCTTGCTGCCGCCTCTGCGCTTGCAGCCTCCTTTACGACTGCCACGCCCTCTGCTCCTGCAGACTCGTCCGGGTTTGCCCCCTCCTGTGCGCTCTCCACTTCCTCCACCTATACCTGTGTCTACTGGTTCGAGTGGACTTGTTTCCTCGCCTGCACCTTGTTCTTGATTTGACAGAGCCGTGTTTGCAACGCAGGAGGGTGTAACATCTCCACCTGAGGAGCAGCTGGTGCACTGAAAAGCACCATCTCCGGGATTATAACAACGGAATATCTTGTCAAGCCCGAGTTCGGAAATACCAAGTTGCTGAAAGGATTGGGCCAGTTGAGACGTGTCAGCGTTGGGAACATCGGCTACGTTAGAAAACGCAAACGCATAACCGCTCCAGTTCTGAGTGACATCGTTAATCTTGTTAGAAATACCATCTTCGTTTGCATTTGTACACGTTGGACCACAGGGGGATTGTGCAGAGTAGATGATGAGGAAATTACCCTGGCTGCTTTTAATAAACGGTTGTATGTTTTCTAGAACACGTGACACTGCCTCTGATTGTGCTGCTGCCACCACCCTGGTGCCTTGGTAAACCTGACCCTGTGAAACAGCTTGTTTCACTTGGTCTGCCGGGTCGTCCTGAAGGACTTGCTGAAGGTTGTTCGGGTCTTCGTTCTCCGGGACATTCACGGCCACACTGAAGGAGTCGCCTAGCGCATATCTGCCATGGGAAAACATTACATGAGTGATATAGTTTGAAATGTCAGTATTCAGGATTACTATCGTGGGTTGATGAAATTGAAAAGCAGATTTGTTCCTCATACTATCATCACATGGCAAAAAATCGTGTTATGTGAGGTCACCATTGACCTTTGACCTTTGACCACCAAAAACAAATAAGTTCATCCTTGAGTCCAATCGAATGTTTGTGCCAAATTTGAAGAAGTTACAGCTCTAGCTATCACCAGCGCAGAGGCATGAAAATAGCTGACAAAATGAACACTAAAGGTCATTGGAGTCATTAAAACAGACTCATCAGAAGAACAAAGTGTTTGAGGACTCACTCATTCTTGATGCCATCTACAATACTTGTGAGCCAGTTCTGGTCCACAGCAGAAACACTGTCTCCAGCAGACAGGAGGAAGGTCAGCACCACAGTCACCCAGCACAGGCCAGCCATCTGCACACAGATCAGGTGCAGTGACAGAGTGGTTTTAACACACAGCGTTGTCACAAAGCAGATGACACACAGTGACAATGATACAAACTTAATCAAGTATATGACAATTCAAGAAACTTTATTTGTCCCCAGGGGGCAATTTAAGGGGCACATAGAGTAGACATTAAAAAAACCACAAGCTGTACATATTAAGAAAAACAATGACAACAACAACAGCAACAACGGTGCAAAACAAAACCTGTAATATTGTAATGACAATAACATGGGAGAATAATAAAAATGATTTTTTTTTAAATTAGCTGTATGAGAGATAATATAAACATATATACAGTATAGGTGCATATGATGTATATGAGGTATATGGGCCAAAGTCCAATAGAACAAGGACAAAACTGTAAATATAATAAAATATAAATCTACAAAGGCCATTGAATAAATAACTCACCTTCATTACTGTTGTCAGCAGGATGTGCTGGGTTTAACACCCTACAAAAAATATATACACATTAATATTGAAAAGAAAAGTTTGGTCTAAATCCTGCTCAATAACTGACACAAAGGACATCTCAATGTCCATTTAGAGCGACATGATCAGCTGACTATCAGTTAAAATAATCATTAATGATTTTGACAACTGATTAACAGCTGAAGTTCATTTTGATGCAAAGATGCAAAACATATGATGTGATGAGCAGACATTTCTCTCATTAAACACACAATATCTTTAAGTTTTTTACTGTTGTAATAAAAAAAATATATTTTCAGATGTAAACTTGGGCTTTAGAAAATTGTTACTGTATTTATTTATTTATTTTTTACTGTTTTCTGATGTTTTCTAGCCCAAAATCTCAATCGAGGAAATCCTACTCAGATTAATCTATAATGAAAATAATCGTTAGACTGTTTCAGCCTGCGGAGGGAAACTTTGCAGCTTTATTTCATGTACCTGCTTTGGTAGACGACGATGTCTGATTGATGCTCTGAAGCCGATGAGTCCTCTTGGTTTTTTCTCAGTGTTTGGTGAAGATACTGCAGCAGTGAACAGTGTTAGGAGGAAGTGACTTTATTTTTTGTAGATGACACAGAGACAATGGTCAAACCTATCACAGCTGCATTATACCCTTATTTGAACAAGTTTTTGAAAAAGAAGGAAGAGGAAGAGTAGAAAAAGGAGTAAAGTCTCATCTCAGCATGATTTGAGAAGTTAAAAAGAGAAATCATTCATCATCACCATAATCACCATAATTTATCAGTTTATTTTTTTATTAAGACACAGAGATAAAAGAAAATAAAAACATCAATTTAAATCTTAAATTGAAGGAGAAGCCATTAAGGCAGATGCTTGTGTAATAAATAAGCACATCACTCAGTCTGTGGTAATTCTCCAATCAGCATTCATCGCAATTGTGTAATGATAATTCCAAATGTTCACGTTAGTAGAATTTTTTTAATCTAAAGAACATTGCACTTGTACTTTTCAAACTACAGATATAAAGAACAACAAATACCTAATTAAATTACCATAAAATAACTTCAACATTGTCACATTTAAAATTTCCCACATTATAAGGCTGCATAGTTACATCCATGAATTTAATTCAATTATCTTTCTGAGATGTCGTTGCAAAACGTCCATGGGAATGACATGGGGCCCCTTTAGGGGGGCTTCCTACTAAGATGTCATTGCAAATAGTCCACTGTTTGTTTAAGGGGGAGGGAGCCACATTTTGAGACATTGCTGTGGAATAAAGTTTGTCAGCCCTCAAGGCCCCCCCACCCAACAGCCTGGGTCCCCAAGCAGTTGCCCGCCTTGCTGCGCATCAGTGTTACTGAAGTAGAACCGATATCTCTCCTTACATCTGATCTCAGGACAGCTTTCTGCCCCACAAAGGATCTGAGACCTGTGTGAATTTGAAAGCTAGCTTGACTTCCAGCCGTTCAAAGATCCTCTATACAGCAGATGCCGCATCACAGGCAGCGCCAATGGTGTGAAATGGGACACAGTTCCGGTCTCCTAAGTGGGCATTGACCCCCAACCCCTCCCTCTAAGCGACAGTAGCTAATCTAATCTATCCATGTCTAGATTTACCTCTCTGCATCCTTTGGGAAAGAAAAGACAGATACGTTTTTCTTACAGCCTGTTGCTGCACAAAGCTCGAACTAATGGATTACTTGTCCCTGCCAAAATAGTACAACAATACAGTGCAAATTTGCGCCTTTTTTCCCGCTGTTTTTATCTACTAATGACATTTGATCTGCCAGGTACAAAGTCATGTCAGTTTAATTAAACAGTTTTACTCTGTTTTAGCGGTTATTAAGCAATGAAACACGTTTTATTTAAGTTTTAAAAATTTAATCCATGGTTTCACATATAAGTAAATCAATCCAAAAATAACTGCGGGTCCATCTAATCATCTGGTTATCGGTTGGCAAACGTCGTCGGCAGTTGATAGATCTCGCGAGAGTATGGCCCTGAGGCAGATCTCGAATAGTTAATTTTCTCCGGATCTGTTCATCTGAAAAATTTCATTTTGATGTCAGAATGTTCTGAAGACGCGTGGCTTATGAAAACTGGGTCCAATATTTATTCCTATTTTTTTTTTTTTTTACAATTTTATTACTGTATAGAGGATCTTTGGCTTAAATGTGCTTGTCAAGCTGTCCGTTGTCTCAACTTCTACCGTTCTGCGATCAGTTACGATTGCACACATTATACGCATGCGCAGACGTGTGTGGGAACTAAACCTGCTTATAACCGTTGAGAGGCAGCAGTAGATAAGCAGTATAGCTTATATAGCAGTAGTAGGCAGGAGCAAATAAACATGCAAATTACACTGATTTATCATATCTGTGTGAGATTTACAGTAAGTTTGTAGCCAGGAGTAGAGCAGCTTCTCTCGGGAATAGCTGAGTACGTACGTTGTGTGCGCAGCGGGCGAGAAAGAGAGAGAGAGGCAGCAGTAAGACTGGCGACCGGAGCAGAGTTAGCTAGTTAGCCGTTAGCAGTGTAGCTATGAACGTAGCAGTGGGTTTACGTACATTTCAGGCTGTTTGTCAGTAGATAAATGCTACGACTCCTCGAGACCCAAGTTCCCGCGTCTGCCCTGTGCTTCAGCTACAGTCCAGACAACAAGCCAGGAAAGGTTAACTACACTGACACAGGTAAATAAACGATTCTGCCTTGTCATTGACAGTTATAATGCAGCAGATAAGCCTGTATATGGAAGGTATTGTGTACTTTATGACTAAAGCATAAAACCTTATTCAGTGTTTCTAGAAACGTGGATTTCAGACGTGACCTCTAGGACAGGGCAGAGCCTCCTGATGATAATGAGTGTGGTCCGGACCAAACTAGCATGCTAGCTTCTGATTAGAATGTTTGCTAATGTGCTAGCTAGTCATGTAATTCCATATAACACACGGCAGAAGTTGTCAATGTTGTTAACAAGCTATGGCTACCTTACCACTTGTAAATGGGGTGTATGTATGTGTGTGTATGTGTGTGTGTGTGTGTGTGGGGGGGGTCTGCAGTCCCAGCAAAATTGGCGCTTTAAACAAAATTATTTTACATGACCATAGCAGCAAATAAGCACCTTTATACCATGTTGGCAATGATATACATGATTATAATGGAGAGATGGGGCAACAACTGGAAAATAGCAATGCTGAGGTAACCTCTCCAGGTCACCAGAGGTCAGATACAAGTTGCCTCCCTGAAATAAAATGTTGAGGTATGTAGATTATAAGCTGAAACTTTCATGCTTTACTCTTAAAATGACTGATTGTTTTGCTTATCTGCCTCACTTTAATTGTATATTTTGAAGATTACCATAGAAGGGATTTTCATTTATCCTCTATACTGCACTTTTGATATGTTCACTATCAGTTCAGAAGAATAATCCTAAAACTTCTTCAGCCAGGAAAGAGAAAGGTGAAGATGCCCAGAAAGAGAGAGAGTAACACGAAGGAGGAGAGAGACTTTCAGCACAGGAAAGACAAGCAGCACATGAAGAGAGATTTACTCCTGCTACCGTCATGAAAAGGTATGTTTCAGTTCGGTCTATATTTTTGACTGTGTTGTTGGGTTTGGCTGCTTAGCTCTGCTTGCCTATCTGTCTGGCATAGAGGATATGATGTCATCGACAGGTGACCAAATGAAACGTTACCATGATTAAAACCACAGATTTCTCTGAGAATGGATGGAAACATTCAGGATAATGTAAGAACACAACTCAACAACATATAGAACATAAGTCTAGTCATTTTTCAACATTTTAATGTGGAAAAGTTACAGATCAGAACTTGAAATGATGTGATTTTTCTAGCAAAACTGCTAAACATACCCTTGTTCCTGCTTCATCAATTTGAGGTTTTGCTGTATTTCTTTGTCACACAGTTTCTGATAGTAAACAGAATATTTTTGACTGTTGGTTGGACAAAACAAACAATATGAAGAGGTCAAACTGAGCTCTGGGAAACTGTGATGGACTTGTATCACCATTCTGTACATTTTATAAACATTTTAGGAATGATTAAGTGATTGACTGAGAGTTTAAATGTTCAGCACAAGACATGATGTCGTGACATGTTCATATAACACGTTCATATACTCTAGAGAGGATCGTATGTACAAGATGAGAACAGTATCAGTGGTCCCTCGCTGAGTTGTGCTGAGTTGTGCTGAGTTGTGCATGTGTGCTGCAGCTCTCTCTGAGGGTTTAGTCATTAAGAGATGAAGATAAGATGAAGACTTCTGCTTTAGTGAATGACTAGTGGATTATTGACTAAAACAAAGTCTTCCTGTTTTTTCTCATCTCTTTGTTTGATCGTGAGAACCATCAACAGTGTGAACGACTAAAGTCACACCCACACACGCTGATGGCAGCAAACTGTCCTACACTGTAAAGATCTTTGGATAGAAGTGCCATATAAATGCAGTCAAGTGACCAAATTATTTTGTTTAATTACAAAGGAGTTTTTTTGTTTAGCTTTTCAAATCACACACAATACAGCAGTTTGTTTACAAGTGTTTTCAGTGCAGCTGTGTGGTCCTCACCTGTGTTTGTATGACAGCAGTCTAAATGAACTGAAGCAGCGTTTTAAGGTGTGTCTTAAAACACCTTTGGGTCACCTACACTTGAAACAACAGTGCTGAAGACAGTGTTGGTGTGTTTTTGTTGTGTGTGTACGTGTGTGCATGTGTGTGTGTGGTCAGCTAGCTGTTTGTCGACTGTTTGTCAAGTCATGCCTAATGCATGAAGTCATGACTAAGCAGGTTCACAGGGCCTTCACACTTGTTGGTGTTAGGGGTGTTGCGACATCCACAATTTCACAGAAACATGTTTTCGTTGAACAGCATAAAAACCATGACGGACGTAGCCTCTGTGACGTCACCCACAGGTTTCTGAAGAGTGGTTGTGAAGCTCAGAGTCTGACTCCGCCTCTAACTCCCAGCTAATCCATAAATGGTCAAAGAGGAGGAGCGTGTGTGGAGCTGAGACTTCAGTTCATGCCGGTTTGTGGCAAGCATACGCTCGTCACTCAAAGAGGCCACGCCCTCAATTCTCCATAACCTTAGTCCTAAATAAAATGTAAACAGGTGAGTTATATAAACAGGTGTTTTTGTACCAGGCTGTAAACATGTTTATTTCTGCTGTAAAGTTGGACATTTTAACATGGGAGTCTATGGGGACTGACTCACTGTTGGAGCCAGACTCTAGTGGCCATTAGAGGAACTGCAGCTTGTCATACTTCGGTGTTGGCTTCATTTTTCAGCCCCTGATAAGGTTAGACATCCCTGCCTGACTGTCTGCCTGTACATATGTGTCAGTCTCAAAAGCAAATAATTTTCCTTAGAAGTAGTTCGTGTTTACTTGAAATATAACCAGGTTCAATGGAGAAAACCTTGTCTGGTTCTAGTTTAAGGAAATTTCATCTTTTGTGTTTATAACAACTGTAAAAATGAGAAAACAGTGCTAAAATTCAGGGTTCATTGACAGTT